AAAAGATATAGACAGATGATCTGATGAATATATAAATAAATGGGAACGTAAAAAGATATTGACAGATGATCTGATGAATATATATATATATATAAATAAATGGGAAAGTAAAAAGATATAGACAGATGATCTGATGAATATAAAAATAATTTGGAAAGTAAAAGATATAGACAGATGATCTGATGAATATATAAATAAATGGGAAAGTAAAAAGATATAAACAGATGATCTGATGAATATATAAATAAATGGGAAAGTAATAATCCAAATTAACCACTGGAGACATACCTGATATATAGACTAGTGTAGTTCGTGGGGAAACGCTAATCTATAAAACAATTTTTGCACGTTCAACAAGGACAAACACACTTACCTGCAATTGTCTTCGTCCACAAACAAAACAACGCCACGAGCTCGAGATTTTTTTACAAGCTTTTTGATAATGTAGTCGAAATCTTCAGGTCGTGAATTTCTGGTTATCTTTTCAGACACGGCTATACAGAGACCTGTATTGTCATAAGACACAATATGAATATACATAATTATTTTTGTACGATATCCTTTTAATAGGCTTAACAATTTAATTATATTGTTATAAGAAAGAAAAAACATTGATTGAAATTTATAATCTGAAACATTAGATAAATTTTATTAATAGGAGGTTTGCTTGAAAATCATCGCAATAGAAACTGTTAATTCTCTAAGGGTCTTGGACATGATTATGTGTGAAACTGCTAGAGAATCAAATTATGATCGTGAAAATGTGTTTATAAAATTAAATATATATATATTTGGACAGGACCTTTAAGATAATCTAAATGTTAATTAAACGTATTGACATTAAGTATTAATAACATGCATTGATATGAGAGGAAAAAAAATGAAATATAAAAAATAGAGACAAAGAAAGTAATGCGATAAAAGTTTCCCTAAGAAGCTTGGGATAAAATGTCCCGTTCCACACCATAACTTTACAGATTCTAGCTTTCAAGTGTGGCTGCATAACTTCACTTTTCCATAAGTCTGGTGAATTATATGGACGACCATACTTAGATAAGAAAACATTGACTACCGTATATTTAGAGGTTAACTGGACAAACAATTCTTTAGGGCATAATCAAGTCAACAATGGATCCCTAGGTCCTGAACATGGACGTACGTAAAACGGCTTCGAAATTAAATTACCCTAATCACAGACGCAACGGATGGGAGCAACAATTTAATAGAGCCAAATAAAATCCTGCAGCGAACCAATAGAAAAAAAAAGATGGAACTCCGGAAATCGCCTAAGCATACAAACGTGCAGCACGTGCTGATGTTTGGATGACAGTTTGTCATGTGTAATGAAAATGTTCAACATAAACTTCGAACAGTAACATACACTTTTTTACGCATCAATTGGTAAGAAATCAGTGTGTCTTTTGAAGACTTAACTTTGTTAATAAAAAAATATACCTTGTTTTTATGCAGATTTTGATAAATTAAAAACAAAATCATGAACAACAGAATTTCATAATTCACTGGTGTGTAAACAATATAGCAGAAGATATTCAAGACTTTTGGATTTTTTGTGTGTGTCAAATCCAGCAAAATTTTATTGATATGATAGAATATGTTATCTATACGACAAAATTAGCATAATTAATCAGAATTTTTATTCATAAGATAGACTGTGCATAATCCATCATGATGTTTATCCATGTGACAAAGTATGCATAATCCATCAAGATGTTTATCCACGTGACAAAGTATGCATAATCCATTAAGATGTTTATCCATGTGACAAAGTATGCATAATCCATCAAGATGTTTATCCACGTGACAGAGTATGCATAATCCATCATGATGATTATCAACGTGACAGAATATGCATAATTAATCAGAATGCTTGTCTAGTATATGATAGACTATGCATAATCCATCAAGATGTTTTTCCACGTGACAAAGTATGTATAATCCATCAAGATGTTTTTCCACGTGACAGAGTATGCATAATCCATCAAGATGTTTATCCATGTGACAAAGTATGTATAATCGATCAAGATGTTTTTCCACGTGACAAAGTATGTATAATCCATCAAGATGTTTATCCATGTGACAAAGTATGTATAATCCATCAAGATGTTTATCCATGTGACAAAGTATGCATAATCCATCAAGATGTTTATCCACGTGACAGAGTATGCATAATCCATCATGATGATTATCCACGTGACAGAGTATGTATAATTAATCAGAATGCTTGTCTAGTGTATGATAGACTATGCATAATCCATAAAGACGTTTTCCACGTGACAGAGTATGCATAATCCATAAAGATGTTTTCCACGTGACAGAGTATGCATAATCCATTATGATGTTTACATTTAGCTTAGTGTTTTTGTTATTCATAAGTCAACCAGAATATAAGAAGGTAATGAATAATTTGGTTAATTCAAGTTAATTTACATTTAGCTTAGTGTTTTTGTTATTCATAAGTCAACCAGAATATAAGAAGGTAATGAATAATTTGGTTAATTCAAGTTAATTTACATTTAGCTTAGTGTTTTTGTTATTCATAAGTCAACCAGAATAATTTGGTTTTTTATACATCAATTGAATTAGGAGGCTATAAACTTATTTTAAAAAAATCTTCCTAGAAAGAAGAAAGATAAGGGAATTTAAGAAAAAACAAGCAGCAACTAAAAACAGCAACTTGGTAAAATCGTGACATTTAATAGAAGGATTTGAATCGTAAAATAAAATCAAAATCAAAATTTAATACAATGTGAGAATTCAACTTGAAACTACTTTCGTTACTGAGGACTTTGAATTCGCTAGAATATGATAAGAAGTTTTATTATTGAAGATTTAAGCGCGAGTTTTGCTTCACGCTACTTTTTCGTAGAAGTATCACGTGAAAAGAAGACGGTCTTATGGAAGATTACCAAACTTACACACGAAGTATTCGAAGTAGAAGTTATTTTCAGGCTTGGTAATCGAATGCTTATCACATATGGGTAAAATGGAAGGATGTGTAAAGCAGAACAACAACAGTAACGTGCGTTTGAGACACTTTTTTTTGATAATACACTAAAACACGTGCAAATATGAATCCATTAAATTCTACGCTAGAAACAGTTGGAAGCAACTATTTGGGGAAGTAGAAGGAAAGCAGTGAGTATGCGAGAGAAGAAGGAACAAATGAAAAATACAAAGAAATAACTAACGACTCAGAAGGTTATCAATCACATAGAGTGAGCTAGTAAATGTTGCTTCTGGCGTATTTCACCACTAGATGACGCGCAAAGTTATACATTTTCAAATTGAATATTTTTTGGGGTAAACTTAAAAATAAAGCTTTTGTATCGCAAGATATTATATTATATAAACAGGAGGAAATATGAGATAAAATATAAAATAGCTAAAACGAAGTATGGTTGAAATACATATATTTAATTATATATCATTTTACAATTTACTCTTTCACTACTTAGTAAAAGTAGCCCCCCAGTGGCACAGCGGCATGTCTTCGGACTTACAACGCTAGAAACCGGGTTTTGATACCCGTGGTGGGCAGAGCACAGATAGCCCATTGTGTAGCTTTGTGCTTAATTAGAAACAACCAACTGAAACAACAACTAGTATGGCACAGCAGTATGTCTGCGGACTTACAACGCTAGAATCCAGGTTTCGATACCCGTGGTGGGCAGAGCACAGATAGCCCATTGTGTAGCTTTGTGCTTAACTTCAAACAAACAAACAAACAACTAGTAAAAGTAAGACCCTATCACGTCACGTTTTCAGCAGTTTATAATAATTTGATAAACTAAAAGAAAGGACAAAGGAAATAGCTTTCAATAACAATGATGTTTTGTAAGTATCGTTATGTACAATTGTAGAAAGGAGTAGCACATATATTGATTTTAAAGTTTTCCAAGTGCTTAAGATGTTGCATCAATTAGTCATCATTGTTTTTAGGACAAGTGGTAAGTTTATAGGAACCGTCGAATTTAAAGTTTACAATAAAAAGCTCAAACGTCTACTTAGTTTGAAACTAATGAACACTTTAAATAATAATTTCAAATTATTTATTATACCGTCGTTTTATTTAACACACTCTGGTGGCTAAAATGTGGGTAACCTTACGATCCTTCAAAAAGAGCCATTTAAAAAAAAACAACAACACATTTAGTCATTTGAGACAGAAACACTGAAAAAAAATTTTTTATGTATATTTTAATTGAAAATTTTGTAATTTAATTATTAGTATCAAAATATCCGGTAGAAATAGTTCGCGAGACTAAACCTCAATTAAGATAAAGAGTGCGCAAGCGCCTATAAAACTAATTATATATATACAATTAACCGGCTGTCTATTCTTTCTAACTATATTGTTGATATACGTTGCTGGGCTCTACGTACAGGCTTGTAATAACACATAACCTGTGCTTATGCTAAAGCCGTGAAATATCCTGTATAATTTTGTTTAAACACCCTGTTAGGTCACCCATACAATCACACAGTAAAATATGAAGTGTGCTTATGCTAAAGCCGTGAAATATCCTGTATAATTTTGTTTACACACCCTGTTAGGTCACCCATACAATCACACAGTAAAATATGAAGTTTGCTTATGCTAAAGCCGTGAAATATCTTGTATAATTTTGTTTACACACCTTATTAAGTCACCCATACAGTCACACAGTAAAATATGAAGTTTGCTTATGCTAAAGCCGTGAAATATCCTGTATAATTTTGTTTACACACCTTATTAAGTCACCCATACAGTCATCCAGTAAAACATAAATTGAGCTTATGCTACAGCCGCTAGAGGCGTGACATATGAAATATTTATGTATCTTCATCGTATAACTTGAGTCACTAGTTTTTACAGCAGTTTAATTCCTGTTTACTGATAAATACTGACGCTAGCAGAAGTATAAATACACAAATAGGTGTAAGATCTGTCCGAGTTGTATTTTACGCCTCAAGAATTCTTCGTTGTTGCGTCACAAACTACAAAAACCATTAACTGAAACAAATTAAATCAAAACACATCGAAACGCCCGCTACGTCACTAAAAATCAGGTTATCAGCCATGTTCGAACATATATTTCACGCAAGACAAGCCTCACAAATATGCGTGACTTTCAAATTCACACCAGCAACGAAATCCAAAAGATTAATACTGGGTAAGAAATAATAAGATTAGTGCAAGGTAAAGATTAAAACATAATGAGAATTAGTACAAGCTAAATATTAGACACGATAATGATTATCATACGGTAAGATAATAAACGGTAATGATTTTTACACGATAAAGGTTGGTACACGAAGATTAGTATATGGTAAGAATTAGCACACAGTAAGAAATAATACACAGTAAAGATTAGTATACTTTAAAGGTTAATACACGGTAAAGATTAGTACACGGTAAGGATTAGTATACTTTAAAGGTTAATATACGTTAAAGATTAGTATACGTAAAGGATTAATACACGGTAAAGATTAATACGGTAAGGACTAGTATACGTTAAGGATTAACACATGGTAAAGATTAGTACGGTAAGGACTAGTATACGTTAAGGATTAACACATGGTAAAGATTAGTACACGATAAAGGTTAGTTAGTATACGTAAAGGATTAACACATGGTAAAGATTAGTATGGTAAGGACTAGTATACGTTAAGGATTAATACAAGGTAAAGATTAGTACACGGTAAAGACAATAAGAAGCCTTCGCCTCTTCGAGAATGTTCGCAAATAACCTAAAATATTCATAATTTACGTGACGTAATGTCAATGGGTTCGTTCATTTCCAGTGAATCAGCAACAAGATACTAGTCTTTAACTCAATATATAGAGCTTAAAGTAGGCTTGACAGCGTTTTTCTAGTTGCCTGGCATAACTTTGTGGTTAGGGTGGTCGATTCAAGATCTGCGGGTTCGATTCTTTCAGCCGCGAGGACGCTATAATGTGACGATTAATCCCATGTTAAGTTAGTAAAAGAGTAGCGCAAGAGTTAGCGGTGGATGGTTTTGAATAGCTGTCTTATCTCTAGTTTATCACTTCATAATTAGGGACGGTTAGCGCTGATAACGCTTGAGTATCTGCGTGCGAAATTTAATAAACACATTTTCTTTAGTTGGTGTAAATGCGTCTGAATTCTAACTCAACTCTTGTTACGGTTTAGTAAATAATGATCAGGTAATTAATTAAATCCTGATTTATCTTGTCTCTACCTTAACCTTAACCATACAAATTATTTTTAAAATCTAGCAGGCTATATGCTGTTAATGAACAGTTTTTGATATAGCAGGCTGTACGCTGTTAATATACAGTTTTTGATATAACATGCTGTGCGCTGTTAATATACAGTTTTTGATATAGCAAACTGTACGCTGTTAATATACAGTTTTTGATATAACATGCTGTACGCTGTTAACTTACAGTTTTTCATATAGCAGGCTGTACGCTGTTAATCTACAGTTTTTGATATAGCATGCCGTACACTGTTAATTTACAGCTTTTCATATAGCAGGCTGTACGCTGTTAATCTACAGTTTTTGATATAGCATGCTGTACACTGTTAATTTACAGCTTTTCATATAGCAGGCTGTACGCTGTTAATCTACAGTTTTTGGATATTGCAGGCGGTACGCTGTTAACTTACAGTTTTTCATATAGCAGGCTGTACGCTGTTAACTTACAGTTTTTCATATAGCAGACTTTACGCTGTTAACTTACAGTTTTGCATATAGCAGGCTGTACGCTGTTAAATGTATAGTTTTTGCTAGGTTTTATGACTTTTTATTAGCCTTTTCATATAGCAAAGTTCGTGATTTTTTTATCTGATCAAACTTGAATGCAATTCGAACGGTAACAATATATTAGAGTGTTACCCAATAACAAAAGTAACAACAACAACAATAAAAGTAAAAACAATAATAATAAAAGTAACAACAATAATTATATAAAAAAGATGTTCATCGTCTCTGAGGTCATCTTTTTTTTTTATGACAAGACTAATATTTTCACTTAGTGAATCCATTACGAGTACCTGTTACTAAAATTCACGACTTTATTTTCCAGCCATTCTCAATTGTTAATAAAGTTCATGAGTGTCTTTTTTAGCCATTAACGACTTTCTTCTTCAGCCATTTACACTAATCACTGGTCCCCCAGTGTGACAGCGGTACTTTTACAGACTTACAACGCTAACATCCAGGATTCGATATCCCGCAATAACACAGCAGATAGCTCAACGTGGCTTTGCTCTAAACCAAGCAAGGAAGTAAACACTCAACACTGAAATTCATGACTTCATTTTTTATGAATTCACATTCGTCAGTAAAGTTCATGAGTTTCTTTTTTAGCCATTCATTCACACCCGTCACTGAAATTTACGACTTTATTTTCCAGCAATTCCCACTCATCACTGAAATTTACGACTTTATTTTCCAGTCATTCACAATCATCACTGAAATTTTACGACTTTATTTTCCAGCCATTCACACCCGTCACTGAAATTTACGACTTTATTTTCCAGCCATTCACACTCATCACTGAAATTTACGACTTTATTTTCCAGCCATTCACACTCATCACTGAAATTTACGACTTTATTTTCCAGCCATTCACACTCATCACTGAAATTGATGACTTCATTTTTTGTCAACTCACATTCGTCAGTAAAGTTCACGAGTTTCGTTTTTAGTCATTCACACCCGTCACTGAAATTTACGACTTTCTTTTCCAACCATTCACACTCATCACTGAAATTCACGACTTCATTTTTTATCCGTTTACACTCATCATTAAAGTTCATGACTTTTTTTATCCTTTCCCATTTGTTATCAACCTTCATGACGTTTCTTCACTCCTATTGCAAAAGTTGCTAATTTTCTATTTATCTATTTACATTTTTAATTATAACGAAAAACACAGGTATCGTTCATTTTTAACAATTTCGGAGAAACGATTCAATTTCTTAACAAAATGATTCGTTATTAATCTGTCACTTAGAGACCAAGCGGTGCAGCACGTGGCTGATTAAGGCTATATTTCAATATCATCGTGCAGGTCGGCCCGGCATGGCCAGGTGTATAAGGCGCTCGACTCGCAAACTGTGGGTCGCGGGTTCGAATCTCCGTAACACCAAACATGCTCGTCCTTTCAGCCGTGGGGGCGTTATAATGTGACTATCAATCACACTATTCGTTGATAAAAGAGTAGCCCATAAGTTGGCGGTGATGACTAGCTGCCTTCCCTCTAGTCTTACACTGCTAAATTAGTCACGGCTAGCGCAGATAGCCCTCGTGTAACTTTGCGCGAAATTAAAAACAAAACAAACAAAATCGTGCAGGTCTCCCAAATAGAAAGAATTAGCGAAAGATACGCAACTGTATATTTATCGCATGTATTTTTCTTCGTCTCACATGTTAGATTTAGCGTGAAACAAACAGAAGTTCCTGTCTCTAGATACGTACCTGTCTTTTCAGCCAACATTTTGAAATATTCTATGCCCTTCTCGCCGTAGTCTCCTTCTACCGCTACAGTTGACACGTAATTCCAGCCTAACTCTTTGATTACATCAACCATAGCTTGGGCTTGGAAATTGTCCGGCGGAACGACTCGGGAAAAATAGCCGAACCTGGCTTTATCGCTCAGCTCAGTGCTGGTTGAAGCATAACTTATCTGGGGGATCTATGGCATAAAATAAAAAAAAGAGAGTGAGAGGGAGAAGTTAAACATATTAACTGAGACAAAAAAAAAACAATAAAGACATAAATATGTTAGAGATACAAAACGTGTGAATAATTCACATTTATTATTCAGAAAATGATATTGTTCACAATAATTATACAGAGAATTGTATTGTTCACAATTATTATACAGAAAATAATATTGTTCATATTTATTATGTACAAAAGTGTATTGTTCACAATAATTATACACAAAACGATATTATTGTCAATAATCATCAGGCCTTTACGCAAAATGTTTGAAAGGGGGGGGGTTTAATTTGTGAAATCAAAAACTAGCACATACTGTGTGAAGCACAATCAGCATGTAAGACATACTAATGCTACAGGGGTCTGGGGGCATGTCCCCCATAAAAGTTTTAGAAAATAGGTGCTATGAGATTAAATCTAGAAGCAATTTTGCAGGAAATATAGCATTAACAATTGCATGGCTGTTCATATAAAATCCAATGAAAAATCAACAAATCATCATTCTGTTGTAACACTGCGTGGGGAACTAAGACTTAAATTAAGATAAACATGTGTGTTTTATTACAGTAAAGCACTGTACTATGTACATGCAGAGTAGTTATTAATTGTTAAATTATATTACTAATTCAAACAACTCTGTACAACAATATTATATTAGTTATTTTAATCATTGGTTATCATATACCTACAAGTATGCACTAATGAAATAACATGTTAGCGGAGAGCAGATGCCGAACGTTCACATGAACACGAATTTAGTGGCAGCGTGGCATAGGGTTTCAGTAACATAAAGATATTTGGTACAGTGAAGCACGCTTTTAAGGTCAGCCAGTATCTGGTGCCTGTCCTGAAGATGTATAGAAAGCCATTTTGTCTTCCATCGAATTTTGATGCCATAATTTGCTGTATTGCTGCTGCTTGCTTGACATGTGCATCAAATATGGAGGAAATATTACTGTTGGGTTATTATTATTTAGATCTAGATTACATGCTTGTGTGTTTAACGATAAAGAGTGTGTAGTGGCGATTTGCAAAATGAAATTATCACAGACTGTATTGTAATAACAGAGTAGATAAGAATAATTCGTCTTGTAACTTGAGTTCTAAGGACATTGAACCAGCTTGTTTGGATTTTGACGAAAAAGAGACAGTTATTTAAAGCTCTGGATACAACTGTGATAACCAACAGAGTAACGAACATTTATATATACGTTTGACTTGTTTTAATATATTATTTTTAAGCAAGTCGACTGTGTTGCCGTTTATCTATTGTTAAAATTTATCACCAACAAGTCACAAACACCTACTATAAAGAATCCAGTCTACAAAACCTGAAAGTAGCAATACGGCTTCGTACTTCCAATTACAAAGTGCCAACAGAAGCCATTGCATGCGACTATTTCAAGCCAAAATATAGTAATGCTTCACCAGAAGAATGTTGACTATGTAGAAAACGTTAAAATACCATAAGCAGCTGCGCTATAACTAAGTATATTTTTTATATCACAAAAATAAAAATAAAAATAAAACTAATCTTGGCGATGCAAACATTTTGTATTGATAGTAGAAATGCTTGCTTAGCTGGTAAACTTAGTAGCTTTTGGACGCTGAGGAATGTCACATATTCCCCCTTCTTGACTAAACATCTTATTTCATTCATTTTACGCAATTGAAGAAAAACAACTGCAAAAGAAAAACTAAGAAAGTTTCTTAATAAGAAATAAAAAAAAACGACTATAAACAAATATTCTGGATCTCCACTATATTTATTCATCAACAGAATTATAGATATATTATGAATGGTTCGCTTTAACTGTTATATTAAATTATTGTTTGTTTTACCGCAGAGTTACATAATAGGTTATCTGAGCCCTATTCACTAAAGGGAATCGAACGCCGGATGGTAGAGTTGTAGGTTCGTAAACGTACCGCCCATTGGCACGCGCTAGAGTAAGATAATCTGAATTTGATTTGTAGAGTTCGTTACAGAAATGTCATTGTTTTGAAACGTTGAGCGATAAAAACTTTGAATGTTCTTTTGGTTTGTTTGAAGTTAAGCACAAAGCTACACAATGGGTTATCTGTGCTCTGCCCACCACGGGTATCGAAACCCGGATTCTAACGTTATAAGTCCGCAGACATACCACTGTGCCACTAGGGGGGGGTGTTCTTCTGGCGAACACGGTCGTTTCCTTTATTCATAATTATGTGCACTACACACCAGTCGACATTATTTCAAAAAATATACAGACATTGATAATATATATACAATAATGATACAGACAAAAAGAACAGTTAAGTTTGTTTTATTTGATTAAAAGTTACTGCCTTTACGAGTAAGGAGGAATATTCTTTAGAGCAGGTACGACGTTTCGATCACTGGTGCAATCATTCTCAAGTACACAGTATATAATGTAAAACGTGTGTATTATCGCACCAGTGATCGAAACGTCGCATCCGTTTTAAAACATATTCTTCCTTACTGTAAAAGCTGTAACTTGTGATAAAATAATAATCATAATGAGTAAGTAAACTCAAAACGAAACTATTAAGTTGAGTTTGTTTCTCTTAGAGCAAAGCTACATTGGACTATCTTCTATGTCCACCGCGTTGAACTTGTAAGTCCGTAGACTTAACGTTGTCCTACCGGAGGACGGAACAGTTACAAAGTTTAAAGAGAAGAAACAAATAACAATGTTTACTGGACAGAACTGGACAGTTTCTTCACTGGACAGAACTGTCGTTTCTAAACTATAAGTAAAACACAAGGCACAGAGTCAGTTTTCTCAAGTAAACCAGTAAACAAGTGTTAAGTTATCTCGCTGCTTGACCGTTTTCTCTCTGTATTATTGTGCATATTTTATGTTTACGAAATACTATATGGTTTACACGAAGTTACTTGTGCACACATAAGATAAAAGTATAACACTTTTACGTCACACCGTCTGCAGAAACAGTGACAAGCCAGGGGTTTCTACAGAATTGATAAGATTCGGTCAAACGCAAGATTAAACTACGTATATCAGTACGACCCCCTTCTAAAGAAATTTACTATCTCTGAGATAACAAGAACCATGGAAAATCATGTATGAGTCACTTTAAACGAATAAGTGTTTTTTTTAAGACGACATGATAAAGCTCTTAACATGTTAAAAAAAGGTAGAGAAGAATGTTAAGACGGTTAAGCATGTATAAGAACTAGTTAACATGTTAAAAAAAGGTAGAGAAGAATGTTAAGACGGTTAAGCATGTATAAGAACTAGTTAA